ACACACACACACACACACACACACACAGATAGGCTCGCAACCGTCCGGCGTACCGACATGAGAAATTGTTTCATCGGTCATTGTTTATGTACCCAATTATTGTACCATTCGTTCACCGAGGGTGGCGTATCACTTACAACAAATCAATTTGAAGCACACCTCGCCCCTCCCCGACCCCGCCGCCCCTGTGAACATCGTGTCCCGCTGAGCGGACAATGTTTTGTCTCACCCGGTGCAAGGCGACCCGCGGTGCCCGAAGCCGAACGCCACGGCCACGGGTTTCCTTTTCCTCGCAGCGTAACTGGGCGGTTCGTGACCCTGGGCTTTTGTCGCGAAGGCACGCGACAGCGCCGCGACGAAACGAGACAAAGAGGATCTGCTCTTTTCGCTTCGTATTTTCACTCGTACCTTCCTCTATTTCGTGCATGCTGATTCAAGTGTGTAGTTCGCGCAGTTCGTGCAATATTACAATTATAATTATCCTCCCTTACGTTGCGTTTTTTGTAACAATAGAGGATTAATCTCGATTAACCAATGAAAACGCACGCGTAGTTTGTGCAACACTGGAGGCAGCTAAGAGTGTTTGACAACGAATTAATTAATCTGATCTCAGTGATTTTCCAAACTGTGAGCATGAAGGGATCGTTTTTGCTCGTGCCTGCCATTTTTACCCCTTGAACACTTCAGAATATGAAAAACAGCATCGATCTATTTCTAAGATACTTTTCTATTTAATTACATTTAAGATTGAAGTAATTAAAAGCTTTGGCACTCGGTTCCCCTTCTTTGCAATTATTGGCAATTAACTCTACTGAAGACGCAATATACGAACGTAATACGGATTATACTTCCAGAAAGAAGAGGCTCGCCGAACAATTGTTCCAAACAATTCATCAGCAACGATGTCATTAAGAATCTCCTACACGATAATCTCGTTAACGATTCGTGATTAGATCAGATCGCAAAGCGCAAATCTCTCAATGCAGATCGGTAGATCTCGCGAGTGATTCTTCGCTGTGAGACTCTCTGCCTTTGTCTTTGCCACCCAGAAGGCCGAGAACCGGCCATTAAACTCGTAGTTCGACGTTGCGTTTCGTTTCCGAGCGTTGAACGTTGAACGATTGACTCCGTTTGGCTGGTTCGTTCCGGCTCGAGAGGACTCGGTGAAAAGAGCGGGACGCGCGAAACGTGTAACGCGAAACTGAACGTGCAAAAGCATGATAAATAAATCGGCCGGGCCTCGTTTGTATAACAACGCTCGATTTGTATCGTAATAACTACACCGTGGTATTTGTGTTTGCGATCAAAGGAACCGTGTTACTTGTACCCTGACGGAGAAATATCGTGCGCGCACGTGAAGTATGGATTACAGTTGCCCTCTCTTTCCAGCGGATCCGTTCGTTTCTATCAGCAGTTCGTTTCTCTCTTCTCTCTCCGTGAAGTCACTTCGATAGGTGCGCACAGATACACTCTCGCTCAAAAATTTCGGAGCACGTCGAGATTCAGGTGGGAGAAATAACATTTGTTCTTTAAATAATATATGTTCTTGCCGAGTGTAACGTACAGAGTGGAAATTTAAGTTTAATTAAGTTTAATTAATTTAATTTAATTTAATTTAAGTTTAATCGTTTAATTAAGTTTATTTAATTTAATATCCGATTCAATGGAATTTCTTATCTTCTTTGGTGCAAACGAAGTTTCTCACGAGTCACTCGCCGACACCTGAAGAGATGAAAAATCCTATCGTTAGAATTGGTATAATGGTGGAAACATTTAAATGTATCACTTATTCTCATTTGTGTCGAATGCAATGGATATAATACTTTCGAGTATTGCTTAAAAACTCAATTGAGAATATCTCAGTGATTATTAATCTTTGAGAGCGAAATCAATCATACTGTAATGATTTCGAAACGATTACCAGAATTACGGAATTAAATTTGTCGTGGAAGAACGCCAATCCTGTAGCAAACGTTCACTCACTACTCAAGCCGTTAGACAGAAAATGAAGTTTCGTCCAAAGAAAAAAAGCGCAAAAGCGAAGAGTGTTCCAAACTTTGCAACGAGAGTGTACATAGGTACATACTCTCGTGCACACAGTGAACGAAGGTCTATAAGACCGATTGATAAATTATCCGCGCGTCGAAAATTTCTGAATGTAGAGCAACACACGGGCCCCTGTCCCGAGTTATCTGCGATCGATTAATTTACGCTCCGCGGGCCGCAAGACCGTTCCCTTACGGTGAAATTTACGAGCGGCCCGCGATCCAAGGTCAGCTCTAAGGATTTATTCGCGAATTCCATCGAGAAGAGAAGAGTTAAATAAAGTACGAAAAGAACAAATCTATTCTCTCAGCCTATTCGTATCGGTATGGTGGAAACAGTTTGCAAGTGGTGGAGAACGCGCGTCGTCTGTGATGTATTGCATAATTAGACTCTCTCTCTCTCTCTCTCTCTCTCTCTCTGTCTCTATACGCGAGTCGAAGATTACTCTGTACGCAGGCCACCGGCTTCATGATCCGGCAATCACGTAAAGCCAACAAGCCTGCGTTCCCTGGTGTGTTGAGCAACGTTCATCGGCCTCTTCTGCCGCCGACAGAAATTTTAATCGCTGCTCCCATTCGCTAATGCTGGGTTTGCCGTCACTGAGTTTCAGCCGGGCAGAGAGCTGACACGCGTTGACGTTGACGCATTCCTTTGTGTTTCTGCGTGCGAGAACACGAAACCGAGCGAAACTTCGTGTTGATCGATACACGACGATGTAGTCGGAAAGTTTCGTTGCCATTTCAACGCTCTAGCCACAGTTATGCGTGAGATTAATCAAGAACATCGTCAAGACTGTGAGACTATCAAAGACTCCGAAGTCTGATCCAAGATGATCATTAAGACCTACCTAAGATTATCGCCAAAAACTGTGAAACTCTCGAGAAATCATGTTGAATTGTACATGCGGGACAATTGAGCCCCGAAAATATTGAAAATGAGAATGTTAATGTTTCAGAATTAACTCTAGTCTAACCAAACTTGAAAGTCATATATATTCACAGTTGTATTTTGTCGATATAACGTTACAAAAACATTGAAACGATGATTCACAACGATTGACTATCAACTCAGAATTTCTTTTACTTATAGAAAAATTTCACCGATGAAGAAACACCTGTTCCTGTTTTTTTTGTCTTCGTCTTTTTAACATGTGTATCATCTAGAAACCGTAGAAATCGTGCAAACGTCAAGTCCAGACACACTTGTGAGACTCGTCCACCTGTAACATTCGGAGATTGCCCGTATTAAGAGCGCGGATCCTTAATTTCTTAATGCACGTTTCACGTGCACGAGCTTTAGTGCACGAGCGATCTGTAATTAAGAAGCGCGCGGAACGCGATAAAAATGAAACTTCCCTTTTTTTTTTTTCTTTTTACCCTCCCCGTTAAACAACCAATCAGAACTTACTTTCTAGATTCTTACTTCTCGCGATTTTCTCTCTTACAATCACGGTCTTGCCCCTCGCTCGTCCTATTCTTCTTCGTCGTGCTCCGCTTACACCGCCCCATCGTGTACGCGCGCGCGTGCGTGCTTATTACGCGGCTGACAAATTAACTCGGGGAAAGGATGTTGGATGCCTTGGAATAGAACTGTGGAAAATTTTCTTTCGCGTCCGCGCGCTGGCTGGCTGGCTGGCTGGCTGGCTGGCTTCGTCCCGAACGAGCGTGTTCTCCCCGCTTGATAGATTAACTCACGACCCTGGCCCACGGGGAACCTGTTGGCCGAGGATCGGAGAACACTCGCGAGCAGATTTGTCGGCGGGGACGCGGCGCGTTTTAATGGAACATGCTGATGATCGTGGAGCACGGACGTTATTCGTGATTTGTTGGCGGGGAGGCTGTGATTAACTCGACTTTGTCGATCGCGACGAGATATCGCATGACTGTAATGATTTTTTACGAGGAAATATCCCTGTAATTGTGGCTAAAAATATGGCTCGCTCGAGCGCACGTGGGTTTTTTCACTTTTCCAACGAGTCGCCGTGAATTCCGAAATGCCCCGTTTACAGATGCATTACGATTAACTTCTCCTTTTTTTTACCGTCGTTCCGATCTTTGTACGGGGAAACTGTAATTGTAACTAAAACTATAAAGACGTGCTTGGCTAATCGACGCTTTATCGATTCGAACGAGCCACAGTGGAGAGATCGTCAATTCCAAGTAGTTGCACTTCTTCCAGTGAAGTAGATGTGTATATATATATATATATATATATATATATAATTCGAGGCTATAATTATGACTAAGAATATAGACACGTTTGACCGTCATGTTTTTATACTTTTTGATTGGACGAGATAAGACAAGTAGAAAACACTGTCTTCCTTATTTAAAATTTTATACCTAAAAATAAGATAGACTAACAGACTCGATCTTACGATTATACTCTTACACTGTTGTATTCAAGTGCGATCGAACTATCGTTTCTTTTTTCTTCCTAAGAATTCCAGAGGAAATAGAAGAAATTGTCCTCCTCGTTCGCAGTTGTTGAATTAAAAATACACAGACCATGCTCGACCACCATGTTCCTACGTTTATTTAATTCGAATGAGATAACACATTCTTGCCTCGAGAAATGAAATGAAGAAATAGAAGAAAAACTTTCTCCGTAGCCAACACACTTGATCATCGATAGATTCGAACAAGATTAAACATCTTCCCTCCAGAACTAAAAAGATAAAAATCCACTCGAGAGGGAATTCCAGCTCCAAAGACACATGCCCCGGAACGATCGAGAATATTTCACAAGCCTGTTCCCTTACCATTAATCCGATCAAATAACTCTCGAAGCGCACTTCTACCTAAAAGGGCTCGCAATCCACACGGTGAAACACGAGCTCGGTCCCGGTACGAAAACGTTATAACGTTTTTCCACCGTTAATATCCGGCTGGATGTTTTTCGATTTTCGTCCAGTATATCCCCCGTCCAATTATACACCTCCGGCAATTTCGTTTATACGATTTAATTGGCATGCGAACCGCATCGTGTAATTTCAAAAGTGCGCGGTTTAATCTTGACAACGATGTGAACAATTTCTTTTTTTTTTCTTTTTTTTTTTTTTTTTTTTGAGAGAGAGAGAGGGGGGAGAGGAGGAGAGGGAACAGTTCACGAAAACGGGCGGACCACGAAGGACGAAGGACGAGGGAGCAACGAGGCCAGGTGTAGGGGCAAATTGCGTAGCCAGAGCCGCGCCGTGGTATCTCGCATCTCGCAATTACTTTTCAGGCACGAAGCCAATCTTGAGCCGTTCTCTCGAAAACGCACGATATATATATATATATGTGTGTGTGTGTGTGTGTAGTAACACAGTTGGTAGAGGATAGAGAAACTTTCATTGGATCGTTTCTTTTCTTTCCTTTTCGCAGCCGCGTGATATTCTTC